GTCCCGTTGCCAGTCCCCGGTCCGGTACGGGGGCGACACTGAGGGTTGCGATCCGTTGCCGGACATAGAAAAAGACAAAAAGACAAAAAAAAAAAAAAATATATATATATATATATATATATAATTTAAAAAATCTAAATATATAATTCTATATTTGTCAGCTTTCTCTTTTCTTTCTTTTGATGCAATGTACAAAAATAGCAAACAGAAAGGTTAATAGATTCAATTGCAAGAAAATTCCAACTTGTATATAGTTATATATAATTTAAAAAATCTAAATATATAATTCTATATTTGTCAGCTTTCTCTTTTCTTTCTTTTGATGCAATGTAGAAAAATAGCAAACAGAAAGGTTAATAGATTCAATTGCAAGAAAATTCCAACTTGTATATAGTGAAAAAATACTACAACTACAATAAAAAGGAAAACAGAAGTCAATGTACAAAAAGAGTTGATACAGTAAAAGCCTCCTAAAATAAAGAGGCAATCAATATGAACAGACAAAACACAAAATAAAAAACACAATTAATAAGCATGTGACATTATGGTTAATTTTGAGAGAAATCCAAAAGAGGTGCCTAGAATATTAAGATACTAGTTTATAGAATTTACATTGGTCTACAGTTTTTAAAATGACAATACTTACTGCTGGAGAAATTACAATGAAATTAGTATACATCTGAAGGAGCAGCATAAACTAATTTAACCTTTCTAAAAAGTATTCAGGCCATGGAATTAAGAGCTCATAACTACTGACCATGTTACTGTACTTCTAGGAAATCATAATGAATAATTTTTTAAAATAAAGATTACATACTTCAGTTTGCTCACATGTGAAATGATTCCCTACCTTCCACAGTTGTGGTGAGGATTGAAAGAGGAATTTACTGCCTTCTCAGGTCACACATGGCTGTTCGAGCAGCTCTGCCTCTTAAATCCTAAAAGAAAAGGAAATCAATCTCCTTGTAGAAATAAACATAGCAATTTAAGCTCTCCTCTCTGGAGCCACACACTCTCAGACTGAGAACCTCTCTTGTTTGTTGAACACGTGCTCCATGTCAGACTCAGTGTTAAGAACATCACGTGCATCACCTCACTTCATCCTCGTAGTGACCCTGCACAGACTGTACCACCTACTATCCCACGCCCCTTGCTGCGATCATCGTCTCCTTCACCTAGGATACTCCTCTTCATTCCCTGAATATTTTAGCTTCTGACTCACTGTAATTCTCCTCATCACTATTTCTGTCATAACCCTTATGAGTACTAATATGCACCTACAAGATATTCTAGTCCCCTGGCCTCACAGTTCTTTGATCTCCTCTATGCCAATGACTGCAACCTCAACCACTCAGTCCCAGGTTCATATCTCTGATCTTGTTATTTACAAAAATATATCCCCTTTATAATCTCAAGTTCAGGCATCTTCTCTCCAACCACCACTCCTGTCTTTGCAGCTTATTCCAACTAGTACCCCAACTCCAACAATCTTTTGTGGTTAATCCTACCACCTTCTCACTGTCCCTCACTTCCCTTGTGTTCTCACATCCCTTCCTACCCAGCTTACATTCCATGGCCAATCCTTAAAATGACTCCCCTGCCCTCTCTCATCACATATGGTTGGCTAAAACCCAATCCCAGTTCAATCCAATTCTCTATTCTACTCTACACCTGCAACCATGCAACTGGACATGGCTAGAGAAAATTACACAACAGTGCTTGCTTACTTCACTTCAAGTTCGTGATCACTAACTGCCGTAAGTCCTTAATGCTTTCCAGCAATCATATGCTGCTTTCCCAGTCCACTCATTGGTGGCATTCCTAGAGGACTATTTGACTTCCTCCCCTCAATCTCACTCTCACTTGATAAACTTGCTACTTCTACATGGAGAAAACAGAAGCTACCAGAACAGAACTTCCTGCAGTCCCCTACCTCAGCCCACTTTTCCTACATTTATGCCTGCATGTCTCTTGTTACTACAGATGAACTGGCTGTGTTCACCACTAGCAATAACCAACACTTGTCCACTAGATCCTACACACTCTTGTCTACTTAAGGAAATTGTTATAGAATATGTCCCCTTTTTCTTCTGCATCAATAAGCTTCCCTCTCTCAAAGATCATTCCCATCAGCACAAAAACACGCTGTTATTCTCCTACCTTGAAAAACAAAAACAGAACACCTCTCATGATTCAGGCAACTATGCCCTGATCCTGGCAGTCTCGGCATCACTAACAGTGAGACACCCAGACAGGATGTGCCTTCTAGTGTGGGGCAATAGGAACCTCACAGCATCAGCTGTGAAAAATCCTTTCCTAAAATGCTTAATCTGTACATTGTCAAGCCTTTATATACAATTCCAGTTTTTAGGAAACATGAAAGAAAGAAGAAGGTAAGTGACACCATAGGGAAGTTATCAGACAGATCCAGAAAGTAGAACTTCCTGCTGGACAACTGAACTGGTTTCATCAAGTCAATGGGCATGAAAAAGCAATGGCTTCAAAGACATAATAATAATATGCAATGGAGACCTTGTCTAAATCTCGGCTTGAATAAAACACCTTTTGAATCTTCATTTGAATGAAACAAATGAAATACATGAACACAGATTGTACATGATATTAAGAAATCATTATTAAGTTTGTTAGGTATAATAATAGTATTATGGTTATACACAAAAAAAGTTGTATATATGTGAAGTAGTAAGAGATGAAATATACTTTAAAATACTTCAGCCAAAAAATAAAGTAAATATGAAAAAATGCAATGTCATTTTTCAAATGTATTCCAATTAAGCCACAGACAGAACAGTGATTTACAAACTTTTTTCTTCTTGGACAACAACATCATTTGAGAGTGGAGCGAGTTTAAAGGAGGTTGAAGAAAAAAGTTGTGACAGACTACTATTTCTGTTTTACCGAAGGAATTAACTGAAAAAGGTATGACTTAACAAAAGTTATACTTCACCACTACATGAGTTCTAAATAAACTCCATTTCCCTGCCCCTCCCCCTAAACGTCTTGACCTCATTTCGCCTTCCAGCTCCTGCCCTAGCTCGCTCTCTCTCTCTCTCTTTTTTAACAGTACAACACCTTAGAAGACTGTCCATAGTCACTGTTACCACTTTTCGTCTTCCCATTCTCACTTGAGCCCCCTTCAGTCAGGCCCTCCCCGTCTCCACGAACCTGCTTGTCTGGGTCCCAAAGCCCTCCAAGACCTCCTTGCTGCTAATTAAATGTCCAATGCTCAGTCTCCAACTATTCAGCACATCAGCAATGTTAGTCAGTTGGTTATTGCCTCCTCCTTGAAACATATTCTTCACATGGCTTCCAAAATGTACGCTTCTGGTTTTTCTCCCCCTTAGCGGTCACTCATTCTCAAGTTTCCATTGCTGCTTCTCCTCATCTCCCCAACCTCAGCACCCTCGGTTCTGCCCTTTGTTCCAACTACACTCACTCTCTACTGGTTGTGAGCATCTTGTGGTCTGTTCCCCTCCTACCCAGCCTGCAGTTTACACCCAATACATGTTTGTTGAAGTGCACTAAAGTGAGTTCAGAAAACGGGTTCTGTCAGTGAGTTTCTATACAAAGGAAGCCTTTTTTTTTTTTTTTTTTTTTTCTTTTCTTTCTTCGTGACCGGCAACGGATTGCAACCC